CACCACCACAAAGTTCACACATCAAAACTCGACCAAGAGTAGGAGGGTTAGAAACATGACTCACATTGTGATTTTGGATGGTGATTTGGGCAAGTTTTTGAACCATGGAGACCACATTATCCAACTTTGTTGACAAATCGGCTAATTTCCCCGCATCATGAATTCATCCTACAAGCTTTTGTGGAGACCTCTCCGTGTACCAAGTAGATCCATTCATAGCAATTTTCTCCAATAGTTCCTCGGCTTGTGTTGGCTCTAGAATCGTGAACGAACTACCCGAAGAAGCATCCACCAAAATTCTAGAATTATCAAGCAATCCTTCATAGAAAGACATCATCAAATCCCAACTTTGAAATCCATGGTGTGGACATTGCCTCTTCAATTCCTTAAATCTCTCCCAAGACTCAGTGAGGGACTCAGTTGCCAATTGCTTAAAGTTTTGAATTGCCCTTCTCATCCTTTGAGTTTTGGAGATAAGATAGAACTTCTTCAAAAATTCTCCATGTAATTTGTCCCAAGTGTCAAAATGGTTATCTGGATGTGAGGATAACCAATCTTCAGCCCTGTCCTTCAGTGTAAAGGGGAAAAGCCTAAGTCTGACAGCATCTTGAGTGACTCCATTTATCTTGAAAGTGCCACAAAGTCGTAGAAACTTGGTGGTGTGAGCATTGGGATCTTCCGTGGGCATCCCTCCAAATCGATCCGCCGCAGCCATGCTGAGTATGGCCGGATTGATCGCAAAGTTATTGGCCTCCACATTTGGAATACTGATGCTACCATGCTCCTCAACATCCGGAGCAAGGTAGTCAGACATTGATCTCCCCTCAACTTGGTTTTCTTGTACTTGTGCCATCCTAGCTTGTTTTCTAAGAAACTTGGCTCTTTTCTCAATATCAAGATTCAAAGGTAATAATCCTTCTTTCCTAAAAGATCGTGTATGCATAAAAAGCCAAGTTCTTAGATTCAAAGCAAAATCACACTCAAAAACAAGGAACTTGTTATGGGTTAGCAAATAAAATAAAATAAATAAATAAATAAATAAATAAAAATGGACTAGACTCCTAAAGTAAGACTTTCACTAATGTCAGTACGATACGCCACTTCCCTGGCAACGGCGCCAATTTGATTGCGGTAGTTTGGGGCAAACAAATAATACCCGGAGTATTCGGGTTGTCGAACCACAGAGAAGTGGAGTACTAATCACTAGCTACTAGGTTACTCATATGAAACTAGTCCGAACAAAACTTGAAGGTTGATTGGTTGCATAAAATAACAAGCAGAATAAAATAAGTAACAAGGTTTTGTAGACAATAGAGCAAAACAAGATTCTTGGGATCACAATGTTTAATCACCTAGTGCCAATTAACGTTTGTAATATTTGGTTTGGAATTAAGATTTGTATGGGAATGCAAAGTGGAATTGATTTACTCCCGTAATCTCTATTCCTAGTGAATTTCCACTCCCATGGCTTAAACACCCAATAAGATCAAAGATCAGCATTCAATTATTCCTAATTACTACCATCTCCCGATGAGCAATAATCTAGAATAAACTTCCCCTAATTAGTTCCCCTTTCCCAAGGTCCAACCATTAGGTGCAATCGTGTGTGCCCTAATTTATGCCCCAACTCCCATTGGTGACACAAACATGATTGTGAAGGTAGTAATTTAGGCCTTTAATTACCAACAACAACATATTAAAACAAGTTTGCAACACAAATCATAAAACCGAACATAAATATATTAAGAAATTAACGAACTAGGCACATAGGTTCATAAACAAATTCACCCAAAAATCCTTAAAGAATTTAGCCAAGCATGGCTAAATTATACATAGCAAATATGAATAAAGGATTACAAATCATCAAAAGAGTACAAGAATTGACCAAGCGATTCTCCCAAATCTCCTTGGCTTCCTCCTTGCTTCCAAAGACAACTTGAGCCTCTTGATTTCTCTCTTTCTTGTCTACAAAGAACTCTAAAAATCTCTCGGTGTGTTTCTTAGGGTTGAGGAAGGAGGGATTTTATAGTAGGTACAAAGTTGAGATGAAATAGGAATCTTATACAAAATTGGACTCAAATTATAATTCCTATATTTAAGTAAAGAAATTGCCGTCCCACTTAATTGGAATGTTGATGTAGCTAGCAAGCTTTGACTTTGGAAATAGTGCCCCAATGATTAGGGAATCATTGTTCAACCCACCATGCAACCCACCATTTGAATTAAACTTTGCCGCAACATTGTAATTTAACGCACTTCGCGACTTTCTCGACGCGTTGAGACCTGATGGTCTCGATCGAAAGATTTTCTGGAAATTTTCGACGCGTCGAGTCCTCTGGGCCCCGAACTCGTCCAAAATTGCTCCAAACTCATCCTTGAACTTCCGTTGCTCATAGAATTGACCTACAATGGTTCATTAACATAAACAAACACCGTAAAACATTCAAAACAAGTGCGAACCATAATTAAATGATAATAGCAAGGAAAACCTGTATTAAATAAGTAAAATTAAAGAACTTAATTACCGAGATGATTCAAAATAACCATAAAAACAAGCACAGATGTGATAACATTAGTGTGCATTTATGGGATATAGCACTACACACAAAGGTTTTTTATGTTATGATGCTACCACTAATAGACTGTGTGTTTCTAGAAATGTGGTTTTCTTTGAACATGAGTACTATTTTTGTCATCAGCAGGATCTCTCTTCACATGGTGTTCTTCTTCCTGCCTTTGATGATATATCCCATTCCATTGAGCTTTTTAAACCTGGTTTTGTGTATCAGCGACGACAAGCCCCTTCCTTGCAAATACTTCCCACCCATGATCCAGTACCCCCCTCAGTGGCTCTTCGCAGATCTACTCGTAATTGTCATCCTCCTGATAGGTATGGTTTTTCTGCTATTGTAGCTGATATTACAGTACCTACCTCTTATTCTCAGGCCACTAAACATGTATGTTGGGAGAAAGCTATGCACGAAGAACTTCAAGCTCTTCAGGAGACTCATACTTGGGATATTGTTCCATGTCCTACTGGTGTTAAACCCATTGGTTGTAAATGGATATATTCCATTAAGTTGAGACCTGATGGGTCACTTGACAGATACAAGGCACGGTTGGTGGCACTTGGAAATCGGCAAACATATGGAATTGATTATGAGGAGACATTCGCACCGGTGGCAAAAATGACGACAGTGCGGCTCATTCTAGCCATTGCTGCTTCCAAGGGCTGGTCATTACGGCAGATGGATGTTAAGAATGCTTTTTTGCATGGGGATCTTAAGGAAGAAATTTATATGACTCCTCCGCCAGGGTTATTTTCTACACCCTCTTCTGATGTTTGTAAGCTCAAAAAGTCAATCTATGGTTTAAAACAGGATCCGCGTGCTTGGTTTGATAAGTTTCGATCCACACTTATTAGCTTTGCCTTTGTCCAAAGTCAGTATGATTCTTCTTTGTTTCTCTGCAAGACTCCTAACGGCATTGTTTTGCTCCTAGTATATGTTGATGATATCATTATTACAGGGACTGACTCTGAATTGATATCTAAGCTTCAACAGCGCCTTCAAAACTCTTTTCATATGAAGGACCTAGGTCCTTTACTCTATTTTTTAGGCCTGGAAGTAAACTCTACGGCGGCTGGTTTATTTTTACATCAACATAAATACATTCACGACATAATTGCATTGGCTGGCCTTCACGATGGTCGATCAGTTGATACTCCTTTAGAAGTGAATGTTAAATATCATCGTGATGAGGGTGATTTTTTACCTGATCCTTCCTTGTATCGCCGTTTGGTGGGTAGCTTGAATTATCTAACTATTACTCGGCCTGACATTTCTTTTGCTGTCCAGCAAGTTAGTCAATTTTTGCAGGCCCCTCGGCACCTTCACTTAGCTGCTGTTCGTCGCATTATTCGCTATTTTCAAGGCACTTCTACTCTGGGTCTTTTCTTTCCTGTGGATTCTCTTATGCACTTGGTTGCATATAGTGATGCTGACTGGGCTGGTTGTTCAGATACTCGACGTTCCGTTACTGGTTGGTGCATGTTTATTGGTAATTCTCTTATATCTTGGAAAAGCAAGAAGCAAGATCGAGTGTCGAAATCCTCCCGTGCTATGTCATCTGCCTGTTCTGAGATTGTTTGGCTTCGGGGATTATTGGGCGAGATTGGGTTTCCTCAAATGGGACCTACTCCACTTCATGCAGATAATACTAGTGCTATCCAAATTATGGCTAATCCAGTTTTTCACGAGCGCACCAAGCACATAGAGGTGGATTGTCACTCACGGCAACGACATCATTTTTTAGTTACCAAATTGATGCTTTCTGATCATTCAGCATCAATTTGAGGGGGGGATATCAAAGGCTGATTGTGGTTATTGATGACTGTGATTGTGGCCGAGATTTGGCTGATTGTGGCTGATTGATGACTGTGATTTGACAGAATTATGGCTGATCATATTTGTCATAATTTGTATAATTAGGTGTATATATTCTTACCTAATGTAGAATAACAATAATTAGTGTAATAAGTGTAGATATATTCTTGTCTAGAATAGATGTAGAACAATCACTATTTATTGGAGAGATTAACAAGAAGAGGATATTCAGTCTTTTTCTCAAAGTTTGTCATGGGAGGCATGACAGAAACGATTCGGAGATTACGCCTTCTAGAGAATTGAATGATAGATCGAGAAGAGTGAGATTAAGGCTATTACTGCCAACATTAAACACTTCCAGAATGTGCAAAAAATGTCCAGTGAGATTGTTTTTTGATAAGTCCAAGGTTTTCAAGTGCCCAAGAAACCCCAAAGAAGAATTTGAAATCCCAAGAGATGGAGTTTGCAGCTGACAGTGACTTAAATGTAAGTTTTGTTGCATATGAAGCTTCTTAATTGACTCAACCCAATCAACAGTGGAGCTAAGGTCCAAATCATTCATGCCCAAATATGTTAAAATCATTAATGCCCAAGGTAGGCTATCATATGATGATATATAGTAGAAGCTCAATACACACAATACAGAATAAAATAGAATTACATGACTTGAAATATGAATACAAACACACAAATACACATGATTATTGAACTTTATTTAGAATGACATGGATCGGATCGGAGGTACTCAAATGGCCTTTGTTCGTACTTCCTGCAGCTCAAGAAGATGAGTTGATCCTGTTTTAATGCATTGCAACTTATTTATTAATCTTTATTACTAAATGAAAATATATTGTAATTTCAAATGAAAAATTTAGAATCTTAATCATCTTACCTTTTACTCCCATGCCTCTCTTCAATTTCGCTCCATAGACTACAATGGCAGTGCAAAGCTTCTCTTTTTTGTCTTCTAATAATTGGAAGTATGCATGTCTCCAAGAACGCTTGAGTATTAAGGTTCCACATACTCCCCAAAAACCAAAAATGAATCCAAGTGCCAAACTCACAAAGAAGTCAAAGTCCCAAATAATCCATCCTTCATCATCTTGAATTTCATCAATTCCCCCTTGTGGAGCATTTCCAGGTTCATCTCTATGACACTTTGTTGGAAGTGGAGGCCCTCGTAGCTTTGAATTTCCCTGATAAGCCTCAGTGAATCCTTGCAACTGAGTGCCAAGTGGAATACAACCAGACAAATTGTTGTTCGACAAGTCCAAGTGAGCAAGAAATGATATACTAGCAAGGGTCGGTGGTATTGCTCCAGAAAGTTGATTGTTTGACAGGTCGAGACTCTCTAGCGACCTCATCTCACCAATCTTGTCTGGGATGAATCCGGTCAGCTTGTTTCTTGACAGGTTTAGGGAATTAAGCATATGCAAATCAGTTATCTCAACTGGAATTTCTCCAACCAATTTATTGCTTGAGAGATCAATGAGCTTCATGAATTTGAGGTTCTTACCATACTCCAACTCTATACCCTTCCACATAAGCCATTCATAATCAAAGAAATATTCTTCGAAAGAGTCTAGAATCCCATAGGTTTGTTGAGAAGATCCAACAGTCTCCGTGTATGGCATCCATTCTTCAGATTTAGTCATTAATGAATTGAAGCAAGATGGAATGGAACCAGATAAATGGTTCAAAGACAAATCCATTATTTGAATGGATTGGAGTTGGCAAATCTTAATTGGGATTGATCCTTTTAGTTCATTTGAATCCAGGCAAAGGATCTTCAACTCTTTTAAGCTTTCTCCTATTGATGCAGGAATACCCCCAGTAAAATAATTATTTCCAAGATCCAAAACCACCAATGAAATGCAATTTTGTAGAGACACAGGAAATTCCCCATCAAACCTATTGTTTCTCAAATGCAGTGAAGCCATATTGTTCAAATGTCCCAAGGGGATTTCACCAAAGAAGTTATTATTTGCCAAGTTTAAACTATACAATTGGCTAACTTTCCCCAAACATTCAGGAATCTCCTTGGTAAAGAAATTGTTTGAAAGTCTGTGTGTGGAGCCAATTAGGAAATTTGGGACCCAACTCACAAGATCTTAGGCCTAGACCTCTTAACTGAAATGGGGGAATCCAGTGGGTGCCTAAATTCAGTCTCAAAGAGTTATCAGACAGATGATGAGCACATCCAATTTGCTAAAATTAGAGAAGCTGATTTCAGATATGGCTCCACCAATGAATTTGTAGAAACATCCAGACATTTGAGATTAGAGAGGTGGCCAATGTTACTTCCCATTAAGTTTCCATGGAACTGATTCTTGCCGATTGCAAAAACTTCTAAGGACAACATTGTTGACATGTCCGGCAGTGAACCGGAAAGTTGATTATTCCCCAAGTTTAATTTTCTTAGGGAATTAAACTCTTTGATTTCATCTAGTGATCCCACAATTTTGTTATCACTCAATCTCAAAATCTCTATCAATTTCTCCGAACCTAAAATGAGTTCTGAAAAGTTGAAAGAGAAAGAGTTAAATGATAAATCGAGAATTTTCAACTTGTCAAGATGCCTCAAGAATTTGATGTCCTTGTCGCTACCTACCAAAGAATTATAAGAGAGGTCCAGATATTGAAGGAAGTAGCTTGGTTTAGCCACAAATTCAGTAGGGGAAAAGTTGCTATATTTCCATAGCCTAAAGACAAGTGTTGTAGGAAGCTAGAAGAGTTGATGTGCAAAAGTGATGATGGGGGACTTGGAAGGCTGCAGGAAGATAGGCTTAGTGTTCTCAGCAAAGAAAGCTTTGAAATTGATTGAAGCCAATCTGAAACAGAATGAAGGTCTACCTCATCCATATTGAGATACTCCAAGGAAGAAAGATGAGAAATCCATTCCAAGGTGTCAACTACTTTTAGTTGATGATCATTGTAGTTGCCAAGGTCAAGATATTTCAAAGTGGAAATATTTCCCAGATGAGGAGGGACATTTCCAAAAAAAATTATTATAAGAAAGATTAAGATAGACCAAGTTGTTTAGAGAGCCAATGAAACTCGGAATTGTTTCAAATTCATTGAAACTAAGATCCAAGAAATTGAGAAACGGTAAATGAAGCAAGGAAGGGCTGATCTCACCACTTAAGCCGCCATCCCCCAAATGAAGAGCAACAACATGGGCAGTAGTTGTGTTATCACAACCAACTCCTTTCCATTTGCAGCAGTCATCATCATCTCGACTGCCTCCCCATGAGGAAAGAGGGCCGAATGGGTCAAAAGTAATGCTGTGTTTGAAGCTTAGAAGAGCTTTTCTCTCATTCTCAAAGCAGCCATTTGAATATTGAAGAATAATCAAAAGGAACAGAAGCCACTGAAGATAAGAACCACAAATCCTCATCATCAGCTTTAATTGGATTCAAGATATATAATTGATTTAGCAGTATATTATGTATAAGTTTTGTTGTATGCTCTACCACTACTGCAATTAACAACTATATATATAAGCAGCAGTAGGTTAGGGATATTGTTACGTTGCTCCACCCTATTTTTTCCGTTCTAATTTATTTGTCACGTCCATCTAGACCTGGCAATTATGAACACGACCCGTTAACACAACATGAAACCGGACACAAAAATAACGGGTTAGTGTTTAGCCTTAACATGTCCCGGGTCGTTACTGTTAAGGACCCGTTATGTTTCGTGGCTTAACAGGTCAACCTGTTAAACCTATTAAGAACCCGTTTAACCCGTTAATATTATCGTGTTAATCCGTTTACACGAACACATTTACACGAACCCGTTTACACAAACCTGTTTAGAACCTGCTAAGAACCATTCTCATGAATGAGATTACAAACGATATCATGAACATGAGTACATGACTAAGGATGAATTTACTACATTAGGCTAAAATCCTACACCAATTATTAATGTTCAATAATATTAAGTTTGAATTTTTATTGTGTTCAATTTTATTTTAAAATTATCATGGACTTCTTTAATTATTATTTTTGGATGTTATTTTATTATTTTATGAATGTTATAAATTGACTATTTTTTTTTAGTTTGTTTGATGGATTGAATTGTAGGTTTTATTTCTTTTATATATAACTTAACTTTAAATATTGGTTTTTTTTAAAAAAAAAAAATATTAATAGGTTTAGTGGGCTTAAACGTGTTTCGTATCATATCGTGTGGACACGACCCGAAACCTATTAACAAAACGTATATATCATGTCAACACGTTTAATCCGTTAACAAATCGTGTTTGTGTTACAAATTTGAACCCGTTAACCTTATTGTGTCATGTTCGTGTTTAACCTTATCGTATTCGTGTCATTATCGTGTCGACCCGTTAACGAACATGTATACACGAATTGCCAGGTCTACATCCATCATAACTATGAAAAGCTAGTTAAAAGATAAAAGCTGAATTAGTAAATACTGCGTAATAAGGTAATTGATTGAAATTACTGTGTTTAGTAAAATTAATTATTAAATAAGCTGATAATAAAAAGATAAATTGTGATATTATGATTTTGATTAATGAAGGGAAATGATATGTGTTATTTTGTAAATTAATATGGATAAAAAAGGAAGAAACAAAGGTTAAAGCCAATAATTTATTTTTTTATTATATAATGAACTAATAAATGTTGTATTTCGAAAAAAAAAAATTGACAGACCGTTTGGTTGGAGGGGGAATTTGACAGACCATAGGAATTGAATTACTGGGAATAAAGTGGGAATTTAAATTTCAGTGTTTGGTTGACAGGAATAGAATTACTGGGAATTTCAATTCCAATATTTAGTATAAATGGGAATTGAAAGGAATAAGTAGTATAAAGTCCAAAATGTCCATTGTTGTTATAAGGAAAGATCAGACATTCATTTTAGGTTAAAAAAAAAAGAGAATGATAATTTTGTATCATCAGTATTTTTTTTTTCTTTTTAAAATCACAGGAATTAAAATCATAGGGGGACATGGAATTTTTTAATTCCATGAAAATGTGGGAAATGCAATTCCCTCCAACCAAACTACGGAATTTAATGGTCTTTGCAATTAGGTGGGAATTAAGTGGGAAGAGAATTTAAAATCCCTCCAACCAAACGCCCTGTGATAATTTTGTAGGCAACGCAAAATTGGGTAGATGATAATTTCTTTACCTTCTTGCTATATTATTTACTTAGTAAATTATAAATCTTTGTAAAATAGAAATCCAAACCAAAACATAACATTAGAAAATGATTTAATATACCAAAACTAAAATTCAGACAACTTTTAATTCAAGTGGGGAAAAAATTGATTCTCCATCAACAAGCTAGGTCTCAAATCTGGAGTGTGGTTATCCATCATAAACAAAACGACTATCGGTCATTGGACTTGGGTAAGAAGTAGTTTTAAATCTCCAATTAAATTAATTGTCCCACCCTTAAAGGTGTCTATAATTTAGCAAGCTAAGGGGGGTGTATTCAATCCTGACTTTCGTAGATTTTTTTAAATAAAAAGTCGATAAAAGTCTATGAATGTTATTTATATAGACTTTTATAGAGTCTTATAAAGTTTTAAAAAGTTTTGAATGACTCTATGAAAGTCAATCAAAGTTTATTAAAATCAATCATTTTAAAAGTCTATAAAACTCTACAAAAGTCATTTGAATACACCCCCCTAAGAGATTAGTCAATTGGCCCTGTTTTGTAAAAAATTGCCATATATGCTAATTTTGACTAATTTGAGCACTATTAATTGTTTAATTTAGTTAAAATATCAATATAAATGTTTGGTTAATTAGTTTTTTGTAACTTCAAAAGGCTAAAATTTAAAAAGCTAATCCAAGCAACTTTTGAATTAGCTTTTTAAGAAAAGAAATTATATCAAACAACTATCAGCTAACAACTAATTTACCAAATAATTTTCTACAATCATCTAATGTTATCAACTATTTACACCCTCTAATTAACACAATCAGCTAACAGTTATTAGCTATCCGCTAACAGTCATTTTACCAAACAGGGCCATTGTGTTTGACGGTAAAAGTCCTGAATAAAAAAAAAAAATCTAGGTCTCAAGTTTAAATTTTAAGAATGAAGCAATATTCATAAGGAGATATTTTCAAACAAAGTTTGGCAATAAATTTGGGTAAGAAAAAATCAATTGAATTGATAAATAATAATGCAAAATCTTTTAGATAAATTACAGTGAATTCAAATCAATATTAAACCAAGTCTATAATTATAACGACAAGTCAATATATAACGTAAGGACTCCGCCGAGGAAAAGTTGGCTTGATGTGGAATTGTGAATGCATAATACAGGATATGATGTTTCACTGACTAAACACCACATAATACGGGCTTTTCAAAAATGTCACATAGTACATAATATTAGTGTTTGTTCATAATCTAGTCAATAGTGGTGCCCCCACTTGCCTGGAATGTATTTGAATTATATTGCTATTCCACACTTTCATTGTCATTGAGAAATAATTTTGGGAAAAATGTAAGAGTGATTAGGAAAGAGAATGTGGGAAGGGAGGAAGAAAAAAAACCAAAACCAAAAAAAAAAAAAAAAAAAAAAAAAAAGTATGTCAGGCGCGTCGTTCAGCAATGCACGAGCCCGACTATGCACCAAACGCGCACAACATGTGATCCCTCTTCTTTTTTTTTTTTTAAATTAAAATAAATAAAAGAAAAGTTTCAAATAAGAGAATAATATTAAAGTAGATACACATTATTCATAATTAAACTTATTATTAAAGTAGGTAGGGGTTGCAGCTCCGGCGGCTCCATTTTTCTCGAATTTGCGGCACTTGTGGTGGTGGCGCTAGTGCTGGGAGAGTTTTGCAGATTGTGCGGTTCAATGCCTCCACGGAAATTCACCATAGTTCCCAAGTACAGAAACTCGGAGCTGGGTTAAGATGGCCTCCGAAGCTTCGGGATAGCTGGAATACAGCCACCGTTGTAACACCCCGAAATTTTGAACCTTTTAAAACTTATATAATAAAGGTAATTCCTCATTAAATCCCGAAATTAAACATAAGAGTATGGGGTGCTATGCCACACCTGAGCTAGAGAACTCAGGTGCACATGCTAACTAACTAAAATCCTCAAATAATGCCAATACATAACAATGGCACGCAGGCCGAAAGGGAACTAGCTACTCTACGCCTCGGATCTCTAGCGCGCTCTGGGATCTACTCATCTGTGCTTGAAAGCCAAATATATTTGTTAAGCGAGAGATGCTGGTAACCCACTCCAACGCGTTAAAATACAATATAGGTATATATATAGATATAGTGGTAGGGAATATCCCAACCGACATAGCTTCACCACGACCGAGATGCCTTTGTCCTTTTGTCTATGTCTTTGCAGGTAACAGGTCGGACTCCTTGAGGAGAACCCGGTCGGGGACCGGCCGGGAGTTGCCCGAGCGATGCTATGAACCCCGAGCGGTGGTCCTTAGGCGAGAGAGCTGGCTAAAGACACGTGGCGGCTTTCTACGACGACAGGCAGGGCACCCGGGAGGAGGACACGTGGAGGCTACGTGGAGAGCATGCCGAACGGCCGGAAGCTTGTCTCCGGCGTCACGGCTATAAATACCCACAGTAGCTACAGTGTAGAGGACTTTTGGACGATCGATAGGTTGTTGTTAGAGAATCCCGACCGCAGTCAGTCGGTACTCAGAGCAGCCAAGTAGATTGTACTTAGGGCCTTTACCGGGATCAATAAAGGTTTTACTTGTTTTAATTGGTCTCGTGTTATTTATATTGCTTACGTAGAATTAGCAGTATCATTTTGGCGCCGTCTGTGGGGAACCGTGCAACAAGCCAACGTCTTGACGAGCACCCGATCACCATACCAACATGTATCCGTGGGCACACAACAACTTCGCCGACGACCAGGCGGATGCGGCGAGCTCCTCCGACCACTATGCTACCCAACAGCAGGGTCAGACGATGGACCTCAACCTCAACCTTTCACCACCGCATCCGTCAAATACATACCCGGCCGCCCAGCAGCCGGTAAATTACATACAACCGGGATACCCACCACCCGGTCTGCCATACCAGCAGCAGCCGATGATGTATCCCGCCCAGTACCCGTACCCGGTCCCACCTCCACCATACGGGTATTGGCCAGGCCAACCGATGTGCTACACTTCCCCGGTTGGTTATCCACCATATACGCCTGCCTATACAGCTCCAGCCGCCGCCCCTCCAGTACAACCGATCGCACAAGTAGAGCCGCAGCGTCAGTCCACTTCCCGGGCTCGACGCTCGGCTCATTCGCGGTTGGGGTCGGGGGTGCCGATGCGATGGAGGCACCAGTTCAGGCCGTTCGAGCGGAGGACCCTGAGGAGGTTGCCCGTGCGGTAGCTTTCGATCGCCTCCGACCAGA